TCTCCTCCCCAAGAGCCCTCTCATAAGCAGGGGATCGGTAAGCAAGTCGCTACCTGAGGGTTCATTTCTAGGTCATATTCCACTGTTCCTCAAATGTCCTGCATTTCTCCTGGGTCAATTCCAGATTGGAGCTATGGCACCAGAGTCCTCCAGAACATTCTCAGTACAATCTACCTAGTACAAAGGCATTTCCTCTTTTTCTGGTTAAAAATTTATACTCTTTCACCAGGTTAGTACAATCACAGACTGCCTAGGTCCCAAGACAGCTTCTTCCATATTTCAGCTGTGAAGCTTTATGAAACCTGCTAAATTTCTTTGTGCCTCAATTTCCTCATTTCTAGAACAGGGATGGTAATTGAACCTACCTCATGAGGTTGGCATAAAAATTATTTGTCAAGCCAGGCACATTGGCACATGCCTGTAATTCCCGCAACTTGGGAGTCTGAGAAAGGAGGATCCCAAGTTCCGGGCCAGCCTCAACAACTTAGCAAGACTGGGTCTCAAAATAAAAATAAAAAGAGCTGATGTAGATAAAGCACTTAGAAGTATGTCTGGCACACAATAAGTGCTAAGAAAGTACTAATACATGTTGAGCCTCCCTTATCCAAAATGTATTAGGCCAGAAGTGTTTCAGATTTGGGATTTTGTAGGAATTTGAAATACTTGCAATGCATATTAAAATATCTTTAGAGTAACACTCAATTATAGACACAAAGTTAATTTATGTATCATTTATACCCTGTACACATAGCCTGAAGTTAATTTTATGGCATTTTTTAGTGCACCTGTGTTTTAACTACCACCTATCATATGAGGTCAGGGGTGGAATTTTCCACTCTGGCATTATGTTAGCACCCAAAAAGAATCATATCTTGGTATTTCAGATTTTCAGTGTAGGAATTTTCAACCTGTAAGAACATTTGTGTAACTATTATTACCATCATCCTTACCATAGTGAAAATTGTCATCTTGTGGCAATAATTGGGTCCTGCCACCAACACTTCTAAAGTAGGCCATCACTGATTCAGTAACCAAGAAAACTACCTGATTCTATTATTACTGATGCCATATTCCCCATCTTGTCCAGGAGGGTATCTGCCACATACTAGGCAGATAACAAGAGTTGAGGAATATAAACAAAACATGGTCTTTGCCCTCACCAAGGCCTCAGAATAAAAAAGAGAGAAATGCTGAAACAGAGGGATGATCCCTAAGAGACAAGTATGCACCAAAACACAAAAGGTACCCAGCTTTATTGTCATAGTCTCCTACTTAATTTCTCTAAATATTCTAAAATGGAAGGAAATCATAGAAACACATCTGAATACATTCATAAGGTTGTCATGATTTAGTCAATGTTGAAAGGTGTTCACAGAATTAATTCTTATTCTTTCAGTTCTCATTACCAAGTGTCTCTGGGCTGGTCAGCAGGACTGTGATCCCAGTAGCAGAACAACTCTCTACTTTGTATATTCTCTCAGTCCCAAGGATTCTGTTTCCTTTTAAATGCCATTAGCAGAGTTTCTTTGAATTTTAATTGTTCACAAAGATTACATATTCTTCCCAGTGATCTCATTCTTACCCAATAGTGCCACAGTAAATAAAAAATAGGTATCAACATGGTGAAAATGCTAACCTACAAGTAGGACTTGACCCACATTTATTTATTTGTTTTTTTTGTTTGTTTGTTTGTTTTATACCAAGCATTGAACCCAGGGGTGCTTAATCACTGAGCCATATTCCTAGCACTCTTTTATTTTGAGACAGGGTCTCACTAGGTTGCTTACAGACTCACTAAGTTGTTGAGGCTGGCTTTGAACTTGCAATCCTCCTTCTTCAGCCTCCCAAGCCACTGGGATTACAAGTGTACACCACCATGCCAGGCTCCTACATAAGAATTTTCTGGGGTCCTGTTTTCTCCCTGCCTTACACCTTTTCAGAATGAACAGGTTTGGATGGCTTGGTCTTTCAAGTTATCAACCAAAAATTCTTCTCCTCTTAGTTTAGATAACCAAGAAAGTGACTGTAAAGGCTGTTTAATGTGATCAGCCTCTTGATAAACAAGTAAGTTGCTGAAAGGCTATCTTAGCAGCATCTGATCATCTTTGGATCCTGAACTCTTGGAGCAAGCTCAGAGATACACTGATGTGATGCCAGGAATAAGGCTAGCTTCTGTTCAGCCATTAAATTTCCAAACTTGTCACTCTTTCAAGTCCCTATTATTTTTATCACCTATAGACCACATAATTTGAAAGCCTCTCTACCCCTCTCTACTTAAAAAAGGAATTTGTTTCTTCATTTTAAATTAGACACACACTGTCAAGGAGAGATTTTGAGCTACATGACAGAGCTAACATTAACTTTCTTTCATAAGAAACAAAGATGTGGAGAGTTGGTAGAGACTTCTTGTGAGTCCTGCTGAGAATGTTTGTAGATGGTGTTACTACCTCAAGGGAATCCTGGTTGTGATCCACCACATGAAATGTTCAGGTGCAATCTTGCAAGACCTTTTTAAGTTGTCAGGTTTCATCTGTTGCCTCACAAGTGAAACGAGTCCTATTTCTCGGGCAATGAGGTGTCCCCAGCCTGGCTTCTCTACCTAGGAAATGCCATTTTTGTAAAGAGCTGTCATGCTTCGAGTCCTTTGGTTTGTGATTTAGCTGTTCAGGAAAAGTACAGGCTGTTCTCACTCGCTCAGTGCTGGTGATATGTGTTTTTGTTTTATTAAATCTTTAAAACAGTGGGCTTGTTTTATGACCCCCATACATCCTTTTGTTCTTTTCCATGACTCTTTAGATCACATTTTTTCTCCCTTTGTAAAAATATTAGTGCCTTTCTAAGAACATTGCAGTCTCCAGAATAGCCATATAATAAAATGGAGGAAGGAGTGTGTTTGTCGTGCTTACTGTTAGATCTGTGACTCGAGCGCATCACCATTGGGACAGTTGGAGGCCTCACAGACATGGTCCACATATTCACAGATCTTGTGGCTCCTGCCAGGCTTTTTTTCACAACTCTGACATCATTTGGTTTTAATCACAGAGCTATTTATAAAATAAAGGTACCAAATAATATATGTTCAAGTTTGAGACATTATTCATGATTAAGTTACTAAGATACCCTCTGTTGAGTGAAAGCAAATATTAATCCAGGGGGAATTTGTTTGCTTTCCAGTACTGGGGCTTACACCTCAGGTACGGGTAGCCTAATTCTTTTGACTCAAAAGAACCTCTTCCTTGGAGATGCTAAGGAAGAAGAGAGCATCTGCAGTCATCCCTGAATTTGGGTGAATCTTGGACCTTATGCTCCAAGGCTTCTGATCCAGCCCAGTTTCTGTAACCCCTAGAACACATCTCGAATCCAACTTGCCTACTCTACTGATGTGAATCCCCAAATAAACCAGTCCATGACATCCAGCTGAACTTGTTCCTGTGCATACAGTATCTCACAGCCCATCCTGTACTGTTAGTTTTGGCAAGTACACCACAGCATATAATAAATCATAGAAGGAAAAAGCTTTTGGCCTAGCATGGCTCAGCCTGCTGTAATGTTAGAATACAGAAAGCAGTTCTGTTTTTAGACATCCTTTTACTAACCCAACATTCATAATTTATGATTTCACTGTAAAATTCCTGCAACACTACACCAAAAGTAGTGCTGCCCTTTAATTAAGTGCTCTCGGTAGGAAAAACGTGAAACTGATGTGCAAAACATCTCTCTGTGCACAGTGATTGATAGTGATTACATCTTTATGAACCCAGCCTAAAGGTCTCAACTTCCTGATGGGTGAAGTAGTCTACAGGGCCACTTCCTGAGTCTGCCTGGCGGGGATCAGTCACTGCTAACAAAATTGGAGATAATTTGGAGGCACAACTTAGAAACGTTGAGGTTTTAAGCCTGCATCTATCTGTCTATACTTTGCCACAAGCCTGTATGACTTTATTACTTCTTTCCACGTGAACCTGTGACTAAATTTCATGCTGAATCTGCTCTTAGGTTGTAATGCACAAAGTGAAGTGTTGGAAAGAAGATATCTTTAAAGAATCCCAGTTTGTCATATGGGTTTGTCATAGAGGACAGGGGGCAGGTACTGGGGATTGAACCCAGGGGTATTCTACCACTGAGCTACATCCCCAGCCCTTTTTATTTTATTTGGAGATAGTCTTGCTAAGTTGCCCAGGCTGGCCTAGATCTTATGATCCTCCCGCCTCAGCCTCCCGAATCACTGAGATTATAGGCATGGGTTTCTTTTCTTTTAAGACTTGGAAAGAGTGTATGACAGGAGATGCTTCTGGCCTTGTTGGTGCATGAATACAACATTATAGCCAGAGAGGACATAAAGCCATTCCATTTTTAAAAATTTCATTAAAATACTCTTTTTCATTTCCTCAATTGAAAATGAACAAGTTTAGCCAGGCCTGGTAGCACACACCTGTAATCCCAGCAGCTCAGGAAGTTGAGGCAGGAGGATCACAAGTTTAAGACCAGCCTCAACAACTTAGACCCTGTCTCAAAAAAGTAAAATATAAAAAGGGCTGAGGATGTGGGCCAGTGGTTAAGTGCCCCTGGGTTCAATCCCTGGCACCAAGAATAAAAAAGTGAACAAGTTTAATTTTTTAAATAGCAACATTAAATATTAATTAAATATTAATTAAATATTAATCCCAAGCCAGGTATGCCCCAGTTTATCACTGTTTATACTTTGGCTTTTTCCTTGTCAGCAAAGTAGCCACATTAGCCCAAGTTCATAACACCTTATAGAAAGTGTTATGGGTAGTTCCTACATCTGAATTTTTCAGGTTCCTAGAAAAGAAAAGTTTCTATATTAAATGAGCTCTTTGGTATAAGTTCAGCGACTTTCATTCATAATAATAGCAACCAAAACAACTTTGTGCAGCCTAGTCATTTAATCATATTATCTGTGCCTCCAAAATGACATTTTTCTGGAACTACCTATATTGATACTATGTGCGCATGTTATTTTCTGGTGTTTCTTGCAGATTTGGGCCAGGCTTGGTCATCTATTGGTATGGATTTATCCAGGAGTTGGACTGCAACCGGGAGAGGGGCATCCTGCTCAAAGCCTGTTTCCCCACAGACATTGTCACCTTATGCCATAGCACAGCTTGACCCTGAAGATCCTGGAAGAGAAGCTTGGAGGAAGAGGTGAATCCGGAAGCAATTTTACTTTCCTGCAGCGTAAACTCCTGGCAACATCTGCCCTGAACTTCAGCTGAACTCTCGCCGCCGCGGTCTCACCACTACCTCTCTAGACAAACATATCAGGAGTTTCTGTTTTCCTTCATCCCTTGCTGATGTGAACAGCCAAGAACTACAGACACAACCCACTCATTATCAGCATTTCTGTCTCTGTCAAACAGTTAGTTTATAGATAGTCATAATCTTTCTTCCTTCCGGATGGTTTCTCCTTGTGTACTGAACAAAAGAAAAAATGTGGAGACTGAAAGGTGTGATTTTTCAATTCTCCTCCCAGTTCCCAGTTACCAAATCATCTCCTTTTTTTTTTTTCCCCCTAAGCTTCCATTTATCCCACACCCCCTTCTCTTCATGTGTACTCACAGGTACCCATCCTTGCATTAACTGTCCTGGAATAACCTAGCCAAACCTACAAAAGCTGAAGACAGAAAAGTCTGAATCCAAGTTTAGCTGTCACCTGCAGGACTGCAGCCGACCTAGATGGTAGCCTATATCACATGCTTATTCTGCTCAGGCTTTACAATTTCCTGGCTTCTGTGGCTTTATGCCAAGCTGCAAAAATATACTTGATGAGAATTTCCTCTTTGATAATGCTTATTTGAACTCCAAACATTTTACATTTATCTCATTTAAAAGCATTGGTTACATTGTGTCTGGGAGTCACACATCTTTGGCTTAGAGGCTGAGGGGAGAGGACTAAAATTCTGGGCCAGCATTGTCCAGAGTTTATTTTTAATCATGGCTAGCTGTCAGTGCTAATTTAGCCAGAATTTTTATGAGCAACAATTTTTTAAAACACATTCCTTACACTGCTTTGTGTCTGCCTTTTATACCACATAATTTTATGACACTCAAATAATTTATACATTAGAAATGTTCAGCTTTAAAGGACCGAAGTATACTAGAAATAAACTTGGAGCAATTTTTAAATTAGCAAAATAAAGGATATTTTGTATTTGCTCACTTTAATTTCACCTTTGTATACTGCAGACCAGACCAGACACCAGACTTCAGTCTAAAACAAAATGAATTAATTAAAAACTTATCTTTTGGTAAATTAAAAATATATCAAAAAATGTGTTTAGCAAAATATTTACCCTCATGCTTATAAAATATAGCTTTTATAATTCAAATAGGTGATTTTGGAAATATTAATCAAAATGTAACTCTTGCAAACATCTTTATGTTGTACACATTACTTGGTTCTTCAAAAGACTAAGTTTGGCACTGCTCCTTAGTTCATCTGTACCTAAGAAGGTTTGCAAAACTCTGCTCATTGCTTTTCCTTTAAAAGTACACAAACACCTGGAATCCAAACCAGACTTTGTAGTGAGACTGCTACATGAAATATGAAATCGCAAGAGAGGAGGAAGACAGAGATAAAGAGGTGTCAAGCAAACTTGTATTTCAGTGTAAAATTTATCATGAAGATTTTGTGAATAAATAGGATGATTTGAGAACACTACCATATTGCCTTGATATGCGCGTGTGCCGACACACATGCGCACAAACATTTTGAACAAAAATGTTTAAACCTGTTAAAGGCAGGCTCATGGCATGCTTTACACTGCTATTTCTCTTGAGGAATAAATTACATTTATCTGCACAGATGTTGAAAATCCTGTTAAACCCTTGTCAAGGATTTGTTTGTTTTACATTAAACAAATTTATGATGAATGTGCCCAAATAAATTAAAAAATTAAAAAGGCGCTTGCATTTTGTGTGTATTCTTCTACCTGGCACCCTGACATAATGTGTTGTGGGAAGGCATGGGTAGTCCCCAAAGACACCCCCACATCTCCATGAGTGAAGCTTTACAATTTGGCCCTTAAAAGAGAGAAAGAAACTAGCAGCAAACTACATGCTGCAATAATGTTACAAGTTACTTAAAAGGAAGCTTTTTTCCCACACAAAAACTAATCTGATTAGATCTACTACATGTGAATTGGAGGGGTGGGGGAAGGAAGGGAATAATTTCCCAAATCAGAAGCTTAAAGTCTTCTTGTCTTTTTCTTTTATGTTAAAACACTTATCTGTGTCACATCTATATGTGGTGTTTTTTCTGTTTTGTTTTGTTTTTTAATTTAGACAGTATAAACATCAGCCCTGGATAGTAGACATGGGATGACAACTTATTTTTATTGCTGTCGTCATTAGAACATTAACGTTAAAGCAAAATCTTGTTTTATGGAACATCCTGCACACTGTGGTAATGAATTATGCCACGCCAGGAAGGAGGAGTGTGTGTAAAACATAATGCTAACTGATGTCCTCTCTGGCGTACAGAGACTTGCCAAGCATCTGCTCCCACAAACACACAAGAGACCCGTTTGAAGTAAGGAGAGGAAAGGGTTCAGACTTAAGCTGATCCAGTACTGAGACTTAGGGTAACTTCATGGACTCCTTCCCACCACCCTTTCCTCTCCCCACAACCCCACAAAACAAAACAAAACCACAAACAACTGAGAATCTTTGTTCTTTTGCCTTCTAGTAAGGCAACTCTTCAAAAACACTCCTAAAATCACACACAAAAAAAGAAGGTTCAGGCTTCTAAAATAGAAAGCTGAACCTCTCCAGGGGAAATAATTTTCTTTTAACCATAGGTGTATGTACCTGCTCATTATCTGCAAGGCACAATTCCACCCTGGAAAAGATGATAAATTATTGGTCTTTGGGGGGTGCATTAACTCAGGCAAGCCACCAGGGGATTGCTTAGAGCCCTGATGAGGTAATCTACTAAATGGTCCCTGATGGGCCACACTAATTAATGCACAGTGCCAAGTGAACAGTTAATTCACTCGCCTCTCACCAGGGAGCTACACCCATTGTTTGCTTTCCTCTTCTGAGCCAAGATACTTCAGAGGTTTGCTCTTTTTAACCTGTGCCCGTGGACAGACCTTGTGTTTCAAATGAATTAAATCTTCAGGACCTTCAAGTTCCTTTCCTTTGCTGCTCGTGTATCTTTCAGATCATCTTCCCTTCACTGGCCTTTGCTAGTTTCCTTCCACATGGCTTCTACTCTGCATATCTCACTACCCTTTGGCTCCTTTTCTTTCTAGAAAAAGATCCCAGGATCAAAATACATCTCATCTAAGCCCCAATGCGTCTGTTGGGGGTGGGGGGTGGGGGGTGGAACAATTGGCCTAATCTCTTCAGGGACAAGCAAAACCCAAGAAGCATCCATCACATGTCAAAATATTCCTCTGAGGCACCTGTAGGATCATAAAAACTTTTAACTAAGGTAATCAGATTTTACAGGATTAAATACGGTACGAGGTTTATGCCTTCACTAAGTGTTTTCGCAAAAGGAGCCAACAAAACACGAAGGGTTTTATAGCTCCTTTCAGCCTGAGTGTTGTTCATCTGATTAAAATTGTGAATTAAAATAGTAAAATGACTCTATGATTTAGTTAGCGAATTACTCAGCTCCTTCTTCACGGGGTCAGCTTGCCATTGTCCCTGTGATCTGATGGGAGCTGATTTGCTTCAAAGTATTATAATTTTATGACAAGAATGGGAGGAGAATTTCTCCTGGCCAGCACATTCTTGATCAGGGTTAAGGAACAAACAAGCTTAACTAGAGAGGAAGCGAAAAGGCAACAATGGGGGTGTGCCTGCAGTGTCCCCCTCTACAGGGAAGCGCCTGTCTGAGCCGGTGTAAAGTCCCTTCTGTTAAGGAATTGGTCGCCCGAGACAAAGTTTGGATCCTCTGATCGTATTGCTCAAAACTAACCCTCCTATGTACACTAAATACATTCTGAACCTGGTATCAGAGAACATGCCTGGATTCTGAAGATTAAATAAGGAAGATAGAATTATGAATTAAATAATAACCAGAACAGCTTGAGTTCCCCTTGTGTTTTTTACTTTCCTGCTATTGTTTTGAATATGGCTCTGAGACAAAAGAGCTGCTTAGGTCAAGCACTATAAATTACAGTTTTCATACAATAGGAATCCACTAAAATGATTTCAAAGCTTGATCAAAGTACTTCAAAAAAAAAAAAAAAACTTTTTAAACTTTTCCACAATACAGGGGGAGGGGACATGTTCATTTGATGCCTTAATTTGTCTCAGTCAGTATAGCACTCTCCGAACTTGGTTGTCATACTACTTTATGTAAAATCCAGCTCATTGATTAAGTAAATCCAGCTTGTTCTCATTGTTCCCTGTGTAAGAAATTTAAATTTTCATCTAATTAACTAGAACAACTAAACATTTGGAGTCATTTGTAATGAAAAGATACATATAGTAACATTTTTTAATGAGCTTCACTTGACAGTGTTTAATTGTGTGACTCAAAGCTTTTGTTAACACTGTCTAACCCCTGCACTTAGAATAAAATGGATCTCGGTGGATTTTGTTGGCATTTTAATCATAATCATGGCGTCAAATATATTTCATTTTCATTTCTTTTCCCTCACTTGGATTTACCCTGAGTTGTCTCACAGCATAGGCAAAAATGATAGAGAGGACCCCAATGAGACCTTGCAAACTAAGCAGCTTCTAGGCTCAACCACAGGTAAAGTTAGTGTGGACTGTAGTGACAACGTCAGGCTCAACAAAGACGTGTGGTACTATGTTAGGGTAATTTTTATTTTTTAAAAGGAAAGTCATTTTGAAATGCTAACATGAAATATAACCAAATCAATTAAGTCATAATAATTAAAGTTCAGAGTTTAATTGAAGGCCAAACATGAAGCCAATGACCATTAACCTAAAATAGTCATTAATTCCCCCTGGAAACTGCCTTGGTTAAAAGTATTTCTTAAAAAAAAACAAAAAACTACTTTTTCCTGAAAAAAAAATTCCTTCTGTCATTTTTAACATTTAGAAATAATCTCATGTGTCTATAATAGATTTTCTGTATGTTGAAAATTGAAATGGAAGCTATTTTGTAGGACAAATCAAATTTAGATAAAATCACTTCTTCTATTTAGGAAGCCATAGTTTTTAAAGTAAACTGAAAGATCCTTTATTGATCACTTAGTATTTTTCTTAATTGTTGAATTGTTTCTGTATTTATTTAATGTAAAATTTCTGACTAGATTTAAAAACATCATGAGAGTTGAAACCACATATATTTTGTTTATGTCTCTGTCTCCCAATATCTATCAAAGTTCCCAGTGCTGCACAGGTGTTCAGTAAATGGTGGGTGAACATATTATTGAATATTAAATTTATATAAGTGTATTCTTACTCACTTGCATTGAACAAATAATCAGAACCTATTAGTTGTTTCTTATTCTGCTGAAATTTACTGGAATCCGAAAAAATCATCATATATGTTGATGTTAATTAAAGAATTAATTTAGGGACTAATTCATTTAGGAATTCTCAAAATCCGAAATAAAACAAATGTACTAGGAGTATTTTAGGATGTATACTTAATTTGAAGAAATGCATATCATTTTATTGCATTTGCCTTAAAATTAGCCTCGGAGCATTATTGTTTATTCACTAAACTGGTAAAGGAGAACAAGCTAATATTCTTTAAAAATGGCTTATCTTTACATTTCTACTTTTTAAAAACAATTTCCCTTAAAATCTTGTCTGAGACCCAAATCAAATATTCATGCACAAGTTTTGGTATTTTCAGTGGAGTTGTTAGATTAATTTCAAATGATGCTTTTAATTGCTCGCCGAGTTGATGGCAAAGTGCTTCCTGGCCATAGAAGTTGTTGGCTAGCTTAAGAAAGAAGGGTTCTTTGGTCATTTGCCAACAGGATCTGACCTTTGGAGAGATACTGTCCATGAACTCTCAGTGGGCGTTTCCTCATTAGTCATTAATTCAGACTATATTATCGTTTGAAAGCCAAAGGCATTTGGCATATTTCCTCATATTTTGGAAACTTGTAACACAAAAGAAACTGGAACTTCCACATTTCTTCTTTGCTCTGCCAGTTTCCCAGGGCTTAATCTGTTGGGGCCCTTTGGTGTGTGATTTCCTCCATGAATATCTGGAAGGACCTGCCCCCCAACAGAGGAATCAGTGAGACAGTGTCCTCTGGCTCCATTTGATATTTCTGTCTTCTATTTCTAGTGTTAAGGTTACTTAAGATACAAATATTTATTGAGTCCCTAATGTGCATGTAGAGGTATTACAGGGTATTTTTTTTTAATTCAATAAAAGTTCATTTTCAAAAAACAAAAAAGTGACTTTTTTCAAAATGAAAACAACACAAAAGATTTGAGAATTTCAGGAAAGATAATCACATTGTAATCAAAAACAAAGAGAGACACCTGTAATGCTTTTAGGAAGATATTTTAACTGTAGACTGCTCAGCAAGTTGGTTGATATTTGCTTATGGTAACTGGATTCACTGCTCTTGAGAAGGATTCTGAGGCCAAGTTTCAGCTCAGCAGGAAATAAGGTCATGACCAGTTGCAGACACTGGTATTTGGAATGGGTAGTGATCACATGGAAGCAACATACTTTCCATTCTTGCCTGTACCATTCATGTTCCATGTAAATATAAATAAATTCTAAGCACTTGGGACAGAATTCATACCTGTTGATTGGCCTAAGGAATAAAAAAAGCAGTAACATTTTCCATGGTTCTGTAACATCTGGTGAAGTATCTGTCCATGGCTAAAGTCTGTCTAGAAATTCAGATAAGCCAAGTATATCAAAAGGAACATGATTTTAAAACAAGATATATAGTAGAGAGGCACAAAAAATTATTACTTTCAAGAAAATAAATACCTACAA